AACCAAGCTCAGAGAACCCCAAGGACTCCACAGTTGAACCCTGAGCTACACATATTCACCTTTACTGAAACTCCATTCATTTATGTTCCTAGAGAGAGTAGTTATTCTCTTACTTGTGTTTAACCGATTTAAACTGAAGTATAGTTAAAGTGTGCTAAAAAGTATTAATTGTTCTGAACTGATGTCTTCAAGAATAATCTTATATTCTGGTGTTTCTCATGGTTTTTCATAGGGTGCATGTAGCTTTTGTAGTATCTTCCTTGTGTAATCAAATGGAGGGAGGCAGCAGAATGCTATTGAAATAGGTATTTCTTAACTATGATGAGGCAAACTGTGCTTGCATTCTACAGAAAATAATTTGATTGTTCAGTCATACACCTTTAATTCTCTATCTCCTGGCAGTTATGTATACCTGTGCCTGTGTGCTTATGTGTTGCATTCCTGCCTATTTCATCTCTTGTATCTCCTTTTGTATACATGTATATCTTGACTGCATGTAGACATTAACCGTTGCTAGTTCTTGCAATATCGGTTTATCTGTTTGAAAAGTAAAGTCTTTGTATTTTAAACTATACCACCGTCTGCATCAAATTCTTCAACTGTCTGGTAGAGATTTGCTAGTTCTATGACCGTGATATTTGAGGTCGAGCAATCAGTTCTGCACTTTTGCCCAACTGTCATCATGTCTGTGATAAAGTCAGTCTTCTATCACAACTTTAAATTTATTTTTTTAAGAAAAGACTGGGATGTGAAGAAAGCAATGAAACTATCATAGCAGAGTAAAGGAAGAGGAGGAAGGGAGACCAGTAGGTACTGAAACTGCAGAGCTGCCTGCTCTCAGCATCTGATCTGCCTCACCATCTCAACTCTTTTAAACATTGCCATCTTACAGGACTTAGGAAGTGTGCCTTTTCAGTGACTGCCCCTATGCTCTGAAGTGATCTCTCCCCACCACTCCCATGTACTACAGGCTTGCCTTTAGAAAAGCAATGAAAACCCAGCTTTTTACCCAGCCATTTGGATCCACTTGAGTGGAGTCCCCTTTTGGTTGTTTTAATTGTTTTGTTTGGCTTGCTATTTTATATACTGGATTATTTTTTTAATTTTTATTTTTTGCTAAAAGCTTATTCTTTTTCCCAGAATCACATTGTTGGATGGCCTTATAAATACTTGAAACAACCAACCAAGCAAACATCTGCATTGCATGAGAGTTCAAATGAACTTCCAGGAAATAATGGGAGCTACAATTTGGGCACACTCCAGTAGAAATATGCCAGTTGCTTAGAGAGGGCCCTTCCCCACTGCTTGGTAGAAGTCTATCATGAGCCAGCAAAAAATCCATATTGACATAAAATTTGCTGCTGTGCTGCTAATCCCTATCATGTCTTGATTACTTCTGTTCCCTGTACCTGCCTGTTGCCTGATTTCTCTCCAAGTTAATGTGTGACAAAGCCTAACAGAATTTACATACTTTGAGGCTATTTTTGAACAGTCTCAGAATAAGGGAAACAAGACTGTACAGCTATGCATGACTTTGGCCTGTCTTACTGACAGGCTGAGGACAAGATGAAGGCAATATCATAGGGGCATGGCAAAAAAAAAAAAAAAGATATTGCCAGGACATATTTGTGCTACAATTAGATACAAGTGAAGAGGCCCAAAGCTGCAGTGACCAGATGCCTTTGGGTTAAGATCTTTAACAGCTAAAGAAACATGAACATCACCATATTAACTGTAGCGCTGAGTTTGTCTTAGTTACACTCATCCACTAGTTTCATGCCAAGTCACTGTCCTCTATTCTAGAACCTCCTAATCAGCCTAGCCTAGTAGGCTCACTTTTAATGGGCCAATTTTCTATTATTCTTAATCTCATAAGAAAGTAGTGCAGCACCTCATTCCCAGTAATGTCAAGTGAAAGGCAATTCATGGAGATGATCTTTGGTGACCTTTAGCTTCAGGTGCAGTTTAGATGAGAGAAAACCTTGGCTCCATTCATTCAGTTTAAACCAAGGGATACACAATGGAGAGTGTGATCCCCCTGGGTTCTTCTGACCCCCGAGTCTTTCAGCAGCTTTCATGACCATCAGTGATAGTATCTTCCTGGGTCATGTGTGTGTGTGAGGCTTAAAAGGCACGAGGATCCAGGATGAGTGGTTCCAGAAGGCGGTGCTAAGGGTCAGTTCATGTAATACCTTTATTGCAGCCCCTGCAGCACTGATTTAATTTCCAAGCCTAATTGAAAGAGCGGGTTTTGATCTTTAAAAGCTCTGTGACTTAAGTTAGGGATAACTCAAGGAGTGGGACCAGTGCCATTACTTTATGGCTGGAATTGGGGGTGCTTCTGCTTAGTTTGCTACAGAGGACAATTTTTTTTTTTTTTTATTCTGCGCTCAGTCGTTACCGACTCTGCAGTGACTGCTTGGACGAGGCTTTTTGCAGTTTTCAAGGCAAGGCGTTTCGGAAGTGGGTTGCCAGTGCCTCCTTCCTAGAGCAGAGCCCAGCTGGCGAGCGCAGGAGGCGGGGTTTTCGTTGCTTCGCGCCCTTTTTGGGCGTGCACGGTTTTTCATGCTTACTGGCAACTGCTCCCCACTCTGTTTTGCAAGGTGCTGCCAGCG